GAACGTGCGTCCCCACTGTTTCCTTTCTTCTCTTTGCTGGAATCAGAGACGAGCCGCCATTTTACCCACCATAGGTAACATTATCCAATTGTGCAGTCTAAAGATTGGTGACACTTTGAATTTCATAGCAATTGGTTTTTGCGACAAGCACACCTATTTGTGGTACATTTATTTGTGGCAAAGATCTTATTTTCACTTTACCGAGTGCCTAATAGGTAATGTGCGGATTACCTAGATACTCTGCACATTATCTAGGTAATTTGAGAAATGAAACAATTTTCACAACTTTAACAGATTACGCTAGTTAATCTGCAGATTAGCTAGGTAATCTGCAGATTAACGAGTTTCGAGCTTTAGCGGTAACATATATATTATGTTTCAAATGTAAACGACATTGAAAATATATACATAATTTCATTATTTAGAACATTAAATTTTTTTCTTATTGTTTATTTATAATTTTTTATTTTTTTAGGATGTTACATGCATAGATTTCTTCAGAGATATTTTTCGTCGACTACGACGTTTAATCTGCACTTCAAATTAAAAAATAGTGTCATTGCTAATGAAAAATGATTTTTAATTATTAAATGTAATTCTGTATATCAGAATTACAATTTTCTTTAAACGTTTCAAATTTAAATTAATTGTTCTTCTTTTAATTTAATAATTAAAATTAACTTTTCTTGATTAAAAATTCTAATGTAAAAAATTTTTAAATAAAAATAGACAAATTTCTGTTTTGTTGTTGTTGGATTTTTATTGGATTTTTGCGATTCCTTAATGTTAATAAAAGTTCCTTGGTTTTATTAACTTTTACATCCTTATAACAATAATTTTAAACTAAAAAAGCATAACTGAGATGTTTATCGTAATATTTTACAATTAAAACCGATTTGCTCTTTCCCATCACTTTGTTATGTGTATTATTCATGTGTGGTCTTCAAGCTTGTTTTCCCAGAGGCACAGTTATGAATCGTTGAACAATACCTGAACGACTAGCAAAGCTTCTAGAACTTTTATGCAAACCACGAGTGAGTGAAAACAGAACAAAAAGATTGCTGAACAGGTAGAAGAACACTTCAACAACATTTGGTATTGTTGTAGTAAAATCGCCAATACTACGTATAATCTACTGCAATACTCCAATGTAGAATTTACAATCTTGTCTGTTCTTCGAATAATTAACAAATTATGTCGTTTTGAGTAGCTAAACATTTATTTCCCTGTTTGCATAACTCTGATAGCACTGTTTACGGCTCTTGAAAGACGAAATCAGAAAGATTTGTAAGGGTAGGGGCAGGATGAGGACGTTAAAATTTGAAAAGTCATAAGATGGCAACCATTCTCAGTAACTACAATATTTGGTAATATATAATACTAAATTTAATTTTTGAAAAACGTTTTTAAAAACAAGAAAATTTAATATTTTAAAATTATATGTAAAGGCATCATCTTGCTTCATCCGTAGGGTAAGCTGGGAATATCACTTTTATATACAAGAAAAACAAGTTGAAATGGTTGAACTGTCGTTTTCTTTAATATTGGCACAAGAATAATGTGCCCATTTATCACAACGGCTATATTTATTATTATTTTCCAAATAAATAAATATAAAAGTTTGAACTTACTCGTATTTACTTTACCAGACAATGCTGTCACTTCGCACATGNTTGGTAACCTACCGCTCTGGACGACCTGAGATCAAATCCTAACGGGTCGAAAAATACCCAAGAATTTTTCGGGGTGATTAGTCCGAATATGTTGGGTCCCGTTCCTACCATCCGGCCGCCCCGATCAAATCCATAATGGGTCGCTAAAAAGAGTCTTTCAGTGCCCACAGGCAAAGGAGTTAATGAGAATTTTCATTTACAATATGTTTTAAAAATCTTATCTCTACCCTCTTTAGTGAAGGTTAAAGACTCCTCTATTTAAAGCTTTTTTTTGCATTTTTATAATAGTTAATAATATAAAAGTTATTTTTAATAATATCTCCTAATAGATGCCGCCACATACAATTATAACTGTGAGTCTTAGTGTTCTTGAAACTTAAATATTTTTTAAACGACGAGTTTTGACGTAACTCTATAGAACTGTCATTAGGCCTGCGACGACATGTGGACCAAATGCTGGGCCCGAAGGAAAAGCAATAACGAAAGTTGAATGCGGCCGAAATGAAAATGTCGCGACAGATGCGCAGGATTACGAAGGACGATAGGGTAAAGAACACGTTTGTCAGAAAAATCTTACACGTCACCGATTTAAAAGATAAATCGCGAGAAAGGAGACCGAGATGGTTCGGAGATGTTTATAAAAGACTGGATGAAAAGTGCGATAAGATAGAAAGTCGCGGGCACGAGACTGACTAGAGGAAGGTACGGCCAAAGAAAACTTGGATGGAACAGATGAGGAAAGACTGGAAAAAGTGTGGAATGAATGTAGACGCCCAGAACGAACGGAATGGAGGAGTTTGATCTGAAGATCCAACTCCAGGTAGCTGGGAAATGCCAAGGAGAAGAAGAGTTTTATTGTTATTTAAGAAAATGACTCCTTTTAAGCCTTGTTATTACCTAAATTTTACATCCTAGTATAATTGAAAATTATCGGACTTACTACTGTCCCACTACGTCAAGAAAAAGCAACGAACATCACTGCACATGGACGGAAAAGACAAACTCCATTAGAAAAATAGAGCAGTTCGTTTAAAGAATGAGTTTGTTTATATTAGTAAAGAAATTCGCAAATAAAATCAATAATTAATTAATTAATTAGATTTAAATTCAACCGTGGCGCGTACCGAATAACGAAAATAGTATCTTTCTCGCATGCGCATTAAAATTAATTTAACTATCAACGTCATCGATGACTCGTATGGTGCTGCCAGGTAATCTCGACGCTACTAACTTCTGAATCAGTAGTCCCGTCGTTGATTGATCAAACAGTCGACTTTTTTTAACATAAGAAGTACTGTACAATCGGTGGCCGTCTCTGCCGGGTATCTTGTTCGGCAACCGGGGCAAAAAAATAGTTCAGAATTTTGTTCGAAAAGCGAAGCTTTCGAAATCTGAGGTTGGACTTCATTCTAAAATCCGGTCGTCATCGGAAGTTACGTGATATTTTAAAATTTAAAAAATGATTAAAAATTGTAGCCCATCATAGTGACGATCTCACAATAATATACATTCGAGTTTTAGAAGAAAAAGTTTTTACGAAAAAATATTTCTACAAGTTTAATTCAGAGCAAGGGTCTTCCCTAATCCAAAATAATTGACAAATTTTAAACAGTTGATTAGAGAATGATTAAGATAACCATACATTGACAGAAAAAATGAAATAAAAAGTTTTCTAATGTATGTTATTAGTAATAAACACTTTTTGAATTAGTCTCTCATACTTTCTCGATAAAAAACGAAACTCCGTACGAATATTTTAAGCAAATAACCCGCTTAATTCTAAACAATAAGCTAGAAATAAACTTTAAAATATAATGACTTTTTACTAAAACATTAAGATTCAATGCAACTAGTAATTAAAATACAAAAGATGCGGCGCTTCCACCGCTACTAATGACGGCGCGCCACTGCATTACAGGTATTTTCTGGGAAAACGAAACTGAGCTCCGCGGCGTAAGTTTTGCTTTCTCGGCTTGCGAAAACACAGATGTAGTGAAATGCTTCCGATGTTCTGTCTAAACAGTTTAAAACTCCAAGAAGAACATGCATGTTTAACGTTATAATCTATAAAAACGCCAAGAAACGTCTAAAAACCCACATGCGGCCAGGGGCCTACCGACTCCAGTAACCGGTGAAATGTGCCTTTATGCTGTAAGGCAGCAGACAGGTAAGTGCACGTTTTCAAACCCGCAGTAAGCGGGCGTGCAAGGCGTGCACCGCACACGGGCGGCACGTTCAGGGGGCGGAAAAGAGCCTTTCTGGCAAGCTCAGCGCAGGTAGTCGTAGTTAAACATCGCATGGAGAAAAAAATCCGACTGGCGCGCAATTACTATATTCTTATTTATATTATAGCGTTAACAGCGCCTCTATTGGCATTTATCAGAGTTAAGATGCAATGCGAAACGTCTGTCGGCAGGTTGAACCATCTGGCGGGCACCCGAAAGCCAAGTACCAATAGTCGTGCTGTATGATAGAAGTTGACAGGTTTGGCGAAAATAGGGAATCCCTACAGAGCTTCCTTCTCAATTTGTACTTGTACGCATTCGAACAGTTCTATTGCATATCAAATTGCAATTATTTTGTTAATAATTCTTCTGACATGGGTCGAAGTATAATTAATGATATTTTAACTTGGTTAAGTATAATTAACCAGTCTAATGATCCACAAACCCCATTACAATATCTTTTTACTAATGACTTAATTTCAACATTTCCGAACACAGCAATAGCACTAAAAATATTACTTACATTGCCGGTTTCAGTTGCATTTGGTGAAAGGTCCTTTTCAAAGTTAAAAATTATAAAAAACTATTTAATTAATTTATTTATTTAAGATCAACAATGCACCAGCAAAGACTAAGTAATTTAGTTTATAGCTATATTTTCAATTGAACATGATATCTTAGACAGCTTGGATACAAGAAAATTAATAGCAGATTTCGCAAACATAAAGGCAAGAGAGTTCAATTTCTGTAGATAAATATTTATATGGTTTTACATTTAAGTAAATAAAAATAACTTAGTAATAATAAATAGTTCTTTTTGTAAAGTATTTCTTTTCTTTTTTCACACCTTTATGAGACAACACTAAAGAGCCTTTCTGGCAAGCTCAGCGCAGGTAGTCGTAGTTAAACATGGGGCGGCATAATCGGTATTGCACACGGGCGTTCAAACAGCTAGCGGCGCCCCTGCACGTTATGTGCCATCATAAACATGGAAATACAAATTAGTCGTAGCCATTAACTCAAATTGACGACAATCGAAAACTCGACTGACATGTAGCCCACAACCGAGAATCGAACGTAGACTTTACATGGCAAATTTTAACTTCTCATATGTCAACCGGTAGATGAAACGGCCGTATGGCCGAGCAGTTAAGTTGGTAACCTACCGCTCTGGACGACCTGAGATCAAATCCTAACGGGTCGAAAAATACCCAAGAATTTTTCGGGGTGATTAGTCCGAATATGTTGGGTCCCGTTCCTACCATCCGGCCGCCCCGATCAAATCCATAATGGGTCGCTAAAAAGAGTCTTTCAGTGCCCACAGGCAAAGGAGTTAATGAGAATTTTCATTTACAATATGTTTTAAAAATCTTATCTCTACCCTCTTTAGTGAAGGTTAAAGACTCCTCTATTTAAAGCTTTTTTTTGCATTTTTATAATAGTTAATAATATAAAAGTTATTTTTAATAATATCTCCTAATAGATGCCGCCACATACAATTATAACTGTGAGTCTTAGTGTTCTTGAAACTTAAATATTTTTTAAACGACGAGTTTTGACGTAACTCTATAGAACTGTCATTAGGCCTGCGACGACATGTGGACCAAATGCTGGGCCCGAAGGAAAAGCAATAACGAAAGTTGAATGCGGCCGAAATGAAAATGTCGCGACAGATGCG